ATATTTATAGATTGGCATTTTTTCTTTACCTTTGCTCCCCTTTGGTAATCATTTTGTAGTGTAGGCCCTGTTACACATTCCATTTTTTAATGTCATAAATCAGTCCTGCTGATAACTCTAGTTCTCAGAATGTTCTTTAGTTTGAATTCTAATTTCAGGTTGCTTGTCAGGGTTGCACATTCTGTGAACAGATATCTATCTAGCAATAGAAATTTATGACTTGAGACAAGAATTGTGTCGTGTCAGGAGAAAACCAATATATTATTTTTTTCCCCGCCCCTTTGGACATTGCCTACTTGAGCATGAGAATGTGGCTTATATTTTAGGAGGGAATACTTTTACTTCCCTTAAAGTAGACCTACAAAGAAGAAACCTATTGACATTGTTCCTTTTCCCCTCCCCCCCCCAGATGTATAATGTATGGCAGGGGCCCCAAATCTTAATTATTATGAGAGAGAGAGAACGAGAGAGAACTTATTTTGAGCTTCTCTTTTTCTATGAGAAATGTAGGTTTCATCTCCCTTGTCTTTCCTGGAAGATTGTATGGACGTCACAAATGCCAAGGAGAAGCCTGTGGAATTAAGAAAACATTATTTTAATGAGTGAATAAAAATTTCTGTTTTATTTTGATAATATTTGTTTACCTCAAGTACCTAAACAAATAATTCATTGAGGGAGGCAGTGTAGGTTAAAGATCCCTGCATTTTCATTTAAGGCCTTTGAAAATTTGCTTATAGCCTAATTTTCATGATGGCATAGTGATTTAAACTGCAAATGTAGGAGAGATGCAAATAACATTAAGTTCTTTGTTGCTGGAGTTAATATTTGAAATTATTAATAGGGGAAACCACCAAACACTAATTTAGCCATACATTTTTATCAAATTCAAAGACTGAGTACTTACAGGCAGTCCCCGAATTACGCGGATCTGACTTACGTCGGATCCGCAGTTACGAACGGGGCTTTTCTCGCCCCGGAGGACACGGACTGCAGGACCTCGAGGTCCCGCTGCCCGTGTACTCCGGGGCGAGAAAAGCTGCTCCGCGTCTCCCTGGTCTGCAGACCAGGAAGATGCGGAGCAAAGCCACGGAGGGGCTCGGGCAGCAGGGCAGGCCAGGGGCGCCTGGGCTGCCCCGCTGCCGGAGCCCGATTTGGAAAGGCCGCGGAGGGTCTGGGGCTGCGGGGCAGCTCAGGCTTCTGGTCAGTTTCAGCAGCGGCTGAATCTGGAAGCCAGTTCCAACTTACATACAAATTCAACTTAAGAACAAACCTACAGTCCCTATCTTGTACGTAACCCGGGGACTGCCTGTATACAATTTCACTAAACCAGCCTAAATAATAAGCTATTTACTATAACCAAACAGTAACAACATTTAGAACCATTTGATTTAGACACTTAACAAATGGGCTAAACATGGGGGCCCTTAGACCCATATTGGTAGACTCCAATATGGTTAGACAGGTATTAGTAATGAATTGTTTAAGAGCTTACTTTTTATACCCTTTCACAAACAAGTGATGTCACTGCCAATTATTGACTTCAGCTAAACCCTAATTTGTGACAGTTCATCCTTATTTCCAGCTTAATCTTTATTAAATTTATCACCTCCTTATTCCTAATGGCGTTCCTTCACTTGCTGTCTAACAGTTTTCCCGTTGCCTGTGAGTTCCCATATGCTTTAACACAGGTGTGTGGGCTAAGTAAGGAACTAATTTTAAGACAGATTATTTGTTTTATTTAAAACCATCTGCAGTCATCCCTATCAATCAGAGGCCTTTTAGAAACACAGCCTTATCTTCTTATTCTTTGAGCCAGGCATCCTCCATACTTTATTCCTCTGCTCCTATCACTTATTTTCAAGGACTTCCTTCTACTTGCTAGTCAGAGCTTTCTTTATAACACACATTTTTCTTAACCAAATTTAAGCTAACTTTAATTCCTTTATTTTATATTCTTCCTAAAGAAGTATTGAAACCTGACTGTATAGCTGCAGCCAGTATTAATACTTAATCCTTACAACTCCATTGGCTACAACTCTTGTTCCCGCCTTTTTCTTTCGTATGTAACTGCAGAAGTAATTATTTGTGAATTTTTCTGTTAAAAATAAAATTGAAATGTGTTCACTAAAATTTTAAATTTCAGGAATATTGTCAAGTAGAAGTTCATATTTAAAAACAAAAATCCCAATCCTTTTTCTTACCTGTAACCAGGGAAACCTGGGAGGTTGGGGCCGAAATACGGTTGGGACCCCTTTAATTGCCATGTGCACCAAGAGGGCTTCTGTTGGGCACTGCTTCCTTAATTAGAAAATACCTGCACAACGCGAGTGCTCCCAGGGTCAGGGGAAAGTGGTGAGTGCTCCCAAAAAAAGGTGACGGTATGCCATACCGGTGTGTACCGTCACAAAACAAGCACTGCCTATAGCTAACACCTTGGGTCATAAGATTGGCCATATTGGGTCATACCAATAGTCCATCCAGGCCTGTATCGTGTTTCTGACAGTGGCCAGTACCATATGCTTCTGAGGATTATGAACAGAAAAGGGCAATTTTAAGAGATCCATCCCCTGTTGTTCAGTCTCAGATTTTGGCAGTTAGAAGTTTAGTGAAAAATCTTGGGCGTGGAATAGGGATGTTAAGGTGCTGTCAATTGGCTAATCAAGTAGTCAATAGAATTTTTATTGAATACTTGATTAGTTATTTGGGGAAAGCAGCCCGGCTTAGCCCTGGCTCATGCCAGATCTGGGACCTACCCCTGCTGCAGCGCTGCATTTTAAATGTAGTAAGAGCTGGACTGCCCACCCGGCTCTTAGTACATTTTAACAGCAGAGCCGCAGCAGGGGTAGGACCCAGACTCGGCATTGAGCAGGGCTGCTTGCCTGGCTGGAGCAGCCTCTGTCCGTGGCCAGCCCTCTGAGACAGAGGCAGCAAACGGGGAGGGAGGGGGAGTAGTCGGCTAGATTAACTGATAAACCCAGGCTTATCCGTTAGCCGACTATTCACGTCCCTATCATGGGATTGCTTTCTCGTCTCTTGTCCAACAGAAAGTACTTGCTCTTGGTATTAGCAGGAAAAGGTCATTAGAGACTTAGGATGAATGGTTTTGGTGGAGTGTAAGGGGCTGAAATCTGATTGAAAGGTTTCTAGGATAGTACTGAAAGAGAGGAATTCCAGACAGTTATTGCAGACAGTGCATTCAGTGAACTTGGAGATGGGGCAATAGTTGAAAGACAAAGGGGAAGCAGCATGGAGGAGGGAGCAGGGGAGGCTGCTGTAAAGCATCCTCTGTCTTCAGTAGGCCCAGGCTTTGTGGGATGCCAGGGCAGCCTCGTCTGCAGGAAGCTGTGCTCCACTGTGGACACAGAGACTGCTGCCATCCCACTCTGCTGCCTCTATATCAGAGGCAACAGCGTGGGGCGGCAGGAAACCTGTTTTTAAACCGGCTCCTCTCGTGTACTGGCTCCCACCTGCCACCTTGTACTGCTGCCTCTGGTACAGAGGCAGCAGCGTGGGATGATAGGGGACTCCCCAGGAGTGCGGCCAGGAGCGCACTGGTTGGCAGCCCCACCTCGAGGATTATCAAATAATCGTGTAACCGCTAAGTGTTGATGAGGTTACACCGTTATTCAATGAATTGATATCTAAAATCCCTAGTGGAGATGAGAAGTGAAGAGGAATTGCAGTTTGGGCAGAATTTGTCCTCCAGTTTTAACTGGATGCAGTATTCAATTCCTGCCTTAAAGTGTTGTGTATACATGCAGTCTCATGCGCTTCCAGTGACCTTAATGAATTTTGCACTCATACTGATAATGGAGTAAATCCTTTGGAAAGGAAAAGTTGTTTTTAAATACATATGGGGTACATCTAGACTACATGCCTCTGGCGACAGAGGCATGTAGATTAGACTACCGAGCATAGGAAAATGAAGCGGCAATTTAAATAATCGCCGCTTTATTTAAATTTAAATGGCTGCCACGCTGAGCCAATCATCTGTTTGTCGGCTCAGCGCGGTAAACAGCTGATCGGCTCAGCACAGCAGCCATTTAAATGAAGCGGCGATTATTTAAATCGCAGCTTCATTTTCCTATGCCGGGTAGTGTAGACGTACCCATAAATACTATTTTAAAAATCTTTTCCTTTCATAAGGACTTATGAGCCATTCAGATTGGTGTCCATAGGCCTTTATCCCTTCATTCATACTAACTATTGATTAGTCATCATTCTACCACTGATTTGATGTTTCCTGGGTTTATTTTGCTTTTTATTCTTTTAATCTCCGTGGTGGCAGGTTTGTTTAGTCCTAATTGCTAGAAATGCCTGCCTTAATTGTCAGCCGCAGCTCTTTGGTTTTGGTATATGGCTCTGTGATTTTAAAAATTGATTGTTGTGTAATGATTTAAAAACAACTATATATCAAAACAGAGCTCTTACTGGTACATTAAAACGAACGTGCTCCCTGCAGAGAGAGCTTTCTTACAACTCCTCCCAGAAACACATCTGCTGTCTATGAAATTAGGTAACTTTTTTGTGCAGTTTAATTTCTTTTGTTTAGGGGAAAAAACAGCTTTAGACTAATACAGTTTGTGAATAATTGGAACAAAATACTTTCTGGTTTATGTTTCTCTTTTTTCTTCCACTTGTCATTCAAATTTATTTTTAAAGTTTGTGTGTGCATATATACTGTATTTTTGAGAGAGTTTGTCTGTTTGTCCAAGATCTCTTAAACAGTAAGAACTAAGATCACCAAATTCATTGTACAGCTTCCTCTTGTTGTAACTTAAAGCAAGGTGAGGGTTTGATCAGGAAAATGGGATGCCTCTGGAATTAGATTGCTCATCATAAAACCATTCAGAAAAGTGACAGAATTGCCAGGCAGATGAAAGTGGATGGCTGGGGGTGCCCCCCCTTGTTCAGGACTGCCCCCGTCTTAAGCCTCCCACCCCCCAAACGTCGCCTCCCCAATTTGTAGAGAAACATTGCTAGCTGTTCCCCTTTTTCAGGGAACTTGGGGAAAGCACACACTTCGCTGCATTCCTCAGTCTGGCTGCGGAGTGCCTTTGGCAGACATACCTGGATCTGGTCCAGCTAGAGGTCATGCACCCCTCCTCTGACTGTGCCCGCTGTAGCTGCAGTGATCATGAAGAGGTACTTCTCACATGGCCCCAAGCTGCTGTGGTGAGAGAGGACTGGGGTAGTCATCTCTCCACAGGACAGCCTGCATACTGAACCCCTTGTCGCCAGACCCACCTTTAAATGAAGGAAAACAAAAATTAAGGACCCAAATAACGCTGAAATGAAAGTTTTGGGATTTCACCATCCGTTGGTAGAAGCTGTAACAATTTTTTTTTTCATTTTTTTTTGTGCATATCCTAATTTGAGTGCAATATACAAATACATTTCTATATGTTTTATGGCTTTTTGAGGCAAGACAAGTCCATTATGATTAGCTATATCCCCACTACTAAGGCACAAACCACAGTTAAAGTAGAATTAGATATATCCCTGCTACCAAGGCATTGCTGGGATTTGGCTCTAGGAACTCTTGCATTCAGAGCCAGGGCATAGCTCTATGGACTTATAGCCACCCACAAGACCATTAGAACCTATCAGAAAAATCTTTCTATATATAGACATTTTTTGGAATTTTGCTATTTTCCTCATTTTTTATATTCCTGTAGTTAAACAACCAGGTTCCTTTGGGGGAGGAGGGGGATCAGGGGAACCTTGAAGTGAGAAAAGCTTGCATTGTGTGGAACCTGAAGCTGTCTGTGGTGAGGAATTGGGACTTAAAGGCTTGCTGCTCCCTTACAAGGCTACTTGCAGTTGTCCTAGTCACTAGCGGGCTCTGTGATGTCAACAATTCAGGCACCTTAGGGGGTTTCTCTTGTTGTTGTTTGAGCATCTGACAACACCAGGTGAAGGAAGCTAGGTTCCTCCCAGGCCACCTTCTATAACCCTCCATTCAGGGTACTCTGGAAGCAGTTTCTCCCTTTGTTGCCCCTGCCATGAAAAAGTTTTTCAAATAGCTTTTCCAATGTATGCGCTCTATAGTAATTCTGTTAGAATGCTGGAAAGACCTAGCCTTCTTGGTTCTCCCATTCACCCATAAGAATTATACCCATATGCTGTTCATGTATTGTTAGCTGGAAAGCTTTAAAAAAAAAAAACAGCCCCAACCTAAGGGGTGCTTTTGTAAATAAGAAGGGGAAAAAAGAACAAAGAATAAAATATAATCTGTAGAAAACATTACTACTGTAGAAAACATTACTACTGTTGGTTAGAACTTATAATGACAAAGGTTAAAACTTAGTGGTGATAATTTTACTGTTCTTGTCTGTGCCTCCTTTTGTTTGTTTTTTTCATTTCGCCCCAGCTGTTGACAGTCTGTCCAGAGAAGACCTGATTTCTCCAGTCCTTCCCCAAAAATCTCTTTACAAGGAGGGCCTAGCTCTTTTCAATAGTGAGCCAAGTTCATTGTTGGTCTTTTTCTGAAGAACTTGTGATTGTCTGGAGTTTAGCTCCCATTCATACAGAATATGTCCAAATTTGTTTAATTGTAGCTCTGGCCTGGGCAAAATATAGCCCACGAACCGGATCTGGCATGCCAAGTTCCCAGATCAGGCCCATGGACACAGCGGGAAGCCCCAGACAGGTTCTCCTGCTTGCCCCTCACACCACTCAGAAAAGCAGCTGTGGAGCTGTTTCTCTTTCAAAACTGTGATCCCAGAAGGGAGGGAAGAAGGCTTCATTTGCGATGTGCTTTGAGGCATGGATGTGCTCTTGCAGAAGAAATTTTTGTGCAAAAACGTTTGCGCAAAAGGCTTCTTGCACAAGAAGCATGTAGTATAGATGTAGCCTAGGATAAAAACTGTTCACCCAGTATGTAAAATTATCCTTCATTTTGGTGTAGGGGAGAAGGATGTGCTTTTGCTTCCCATTTCTCTACCAACTCCCTTGTCTTCCACAAAACACTTCACAGGTGATGCCCCTAACTATAGTGTCCCAGTTTTTCACTTTGACAATATTAGCTTGCAGAAAGGAAAGAGTTGCAAATTGCTACCTGCAGGTCTTTCACTTACATTGGGCAACAACCACTTCTACCTATGATACACTTGGATGCAACTTTCAGCATAGACCACTGATATTTTGTGTGCGAACTAGGAAGATGAATGTCCAACTATTCATTTTGTAAATACAAATAGGTTCATGCAGATTTAGAGGTTGGAGCGAGACTAAAAAATTGGCCCTTAATGAGAATTCAGTTTTATATTTTAAAAGAATTTCTGGCTTCCTTACTGAGGAAATCCCTAAAAGTTACTGTGTAAACTGGACCATTTTAAAAATACTGACTTGGGCCCCAAAGAAAAAAAAATACTTTTTAGTAATAAGTCAACAGCAATTACCAATTATGGATTCCAACAATGGACTTAGATTGTCATCAGAACGAAACAAAATTGTAATTCTTTTACTTATTTAGTGCCATTTCTGGTATGTTGAATACTAAATCCCTCCTGTTTCCCTTTTAGAAACGGATAAAATCCCTGTAATGCGTGGGCAGTGGTTTATTGATGGTACATGGCAACCATTAGAAGAAGAAGAAAGTAATCTAATAGAACAAGAACACCTCAATTGTTTCAGAGGCCAACAAATGCAAGAGAACTTTGATATGGAAGTATCAAAACCTGTAGATGGGAAAGAGGGTAAGTTACTGCTGGACTGTTTTATTTATTTGTATTACTGTGGTTATAAAAAGATTTCTATAAATATGAATGTTTAGTATATTCTGCAATCTTTTTAATATTGCATGGTGACTAGCAATTATTCGCTCTGGTTGCATTTTTCAGTATAGCTTGATGGTTCTAGGATTTATCACTGAATCTCAAAAACTCACAGCATTCCGTGTAAAACTAAACTCATGGGCGACTTTCTTGTCTTCTCCCCGTTTTCCCTTGTTTCATGTTATGACTTTTTATTATATCTGAAGGTCTCATTTTAGTTTCAAGTTTTCTGTCCATGGGTCAGGAAAAGAGCTGATGACCTCAGTCTAAACTGGCTCTAAAAGTCACACAAATTCCCATAATTCTGCCCTGAAGGATCAATCATTTTCACAGATCATACATTTTGTTTTTCGTTCTGGATTAGTCTAGAACTTCAGAGTAGTTGAAGTTGCAGTAAATTCGGTATATATTTTAATGACCAGGCTAAGAATATGGAACTGATGTTTCTCAAGTATGCGAATCAAAATCATTTCACGTTTTTAAGGTCACCCCACTGAAATTATAGGTGTTGAACTAGTTACCATGGGCATTAGAATCAGTACTAATCAGTACAGAATAAGTACAGCACAACAAATTCAGTATTCTTAATTTACTAGTTTTTGTCCTTGCTTGTAACTACTTGTCAAGTTCTCACTAAACCAATAACTGCAGTTACAAGGACTTCAAAATACAAATTACAGTAAACTTCCGATAATCCGGCACCTTTAGGACCCAGGGGGTGCTGGATTATCAGATATGCCGGACTATCAGAAGGGGGGGCTATGAGGGGTCTGGAGTGGGGTGGGAGGGGATGCCACCCCAGACCCTTCATAGCCCCCCCTTATGATAGTCCAGCTCTGCTCCAGGCGTCCCAGGATGCCTGCAATAGAGCAGCTGGGGTGCTGCCGGGTTGGTCCCGCAGCGCCGGGGGGCGGCGGCACGCTGGATTATCAGATATGCCGGACTATCAGAAGGGGGGGCTATGAGGGGTCTGGAGTGGGGTGGGAGGGGATGCCACCCCAGACCCTTCATAGCCCCCCCTTATGATAGTCCAGCTCTGCTCCAGGCGTCCCAGGATGCCTGCAATAGAGCAGCTGGGGTGCTGCCGGGTTGGTCCCGCAGCGCCGGGGGGCGGCGGCACGGCACCAACCCAGCAGCACTCCA